GATGAGGGGTTAGGGCAGAAAGTGGAGACGAAAGCAGACGACAGAACATTGCTAGAGAGCAGGAAAGGAGGTGAAAGGAGACAATTTTAGAGACGAATTTTTTTCGGTTGCTACCCGGATTCGAACCCGGGACCTTTGAATGAGAGGCGAACACTTTAACCTCTAGGCCACGAGAGTCCCCATCACTTCTTTGACAGTAATGACAGTAAGTCAGAGATGAGAACATTGGTAGCCTACATGTAATATATGAGTATTATGAGAACAAAAATAACCTCATCGAAATAATATTGTTTATATACTGACTAATGAGGGCGATGATAATTGTTAATTATGATAATAGTAGTAAAGATTTTGAATTTAAAGCAAGTTATTTGTTATATTTTTACCAATGTCAATGACAACAACAGCAGCAACAACAGGCATACAAATAACGATAACCTTTGATGTTGGAGTATGGTCTACGTATCGTTCAACATGATGCGTTGGTCAGCGAAGCAAACCTACGCAGTCTTTGCAACAGAAGGTGATCATTCTAATTCTATCTAATTACAAATGTATTCAGACAAAGAGCGAGTGCAAACTTCAAGTTTTAATTCTAATCAGACTTCATGAACCTTGTGAGTTGCCGTCAATGAACGAATATGTTTCATTTTATTATTTTTTAAAATGAAAACTGCTATTATTGTACGTACACGTATCCAAAAGTTCTTGAATCGCACGGGCAAGAGCCATTTCGCGATGTCTTGCTCATCAAAGTGATAGAACATGTCGCTTGGCCGAAAAGTTTTATTTTTTTAAATTTTATAGTAGAGGGTTTTACGGCGCTCACAACTGCATAAGGTCATTCATTTGAGCGCCAAGGGGTGGGTGTTAATGTTAACACAGAAGTCTTTACAGGGAATCGCAGACTTAGACTAAGTTACTCACCTCTCTAGCTTCAACAGCACAAGGTCTGCTTCGACTATCAAGGCACCCCGGAAATAGCAGGTCACTAGAGAGTGACAAACATACAAAAGAAGTAGGGCCTACATGTAGAGGGAAATGACTATAGTAAGAATCAGGAAAGAAAAAGCAGAAGTTCCCTGTTGTAGACCAGGCACAGTTATGAGCGTGACATGAGTCAGCCCATTTACAATTCTACTATGCTTGAACGAGAAATGTCCCCCCTTTGGGAATGGCCTAAAGACACTGCAGTCAGTGGAACTGCCCCGGGGGGGGGGGGGGGGGGGGGTTCCGAAAAGTTTAACAAGCAAAACATTTAAAAGGGGTCAACACTAAGACTTTGTACAGAAACGTGGGAAGACATGGAATAATATCAGGAGGCTGGCCCACGATAAGCAAAGGTGGAAAGTGTTTGTTCGTGGCCTCTACCCTGATCCAGGGTGACAAAGGCAATGATGATGATGATGGTCACACTTTGTCTCAAGTGTGAGCTTATTACGGCTGAAGAAGTAGAAGTAAGAAATAAAAAAATTGTGTTTTTAAAATTTGAAGCAAGACACGTCGATTGCACAGGCGAGAGTTACATTAGAACTGTTTCGGAAACGATTTGCAGAATGGACGGTTTCATAATAGAAACAGTCAAAGTTCTCTGAAAAATATGAATGTACATTTAAGCATGTAGGCCTATCTGGTTTGCGTGTAGGCTGAGAGAGAGAGAGAGAGAGAGAGAGAGAGAGAGAGAGGG